TAAGGTGAAAAAAGATTATCGATTAATACGATCAGGTAGGGAATTTCTTCAAACATTAAAAAAAAAAAATGATTTGCGAAATAGCAGAGAGAATTATCCGGACTTATGTAAGTAGTTGGCAGAGTGAGAGGGCTTTGAACTTTACATAAGGAGCCCGCACTAAACCGCACTGTCAAAGAAAAAAGACAATGGGTGAGGCAATCCTTTGACAGGGCTCCTTGCATTTCGTGGCGAACATCCAGCAGTTGTAGTAGTAATTGCATGGAAGGAGCAATGGTATGGAAAAGAAATTGATCAATATTTTACTGATGGCGAAGAAAGCAACACTATAGCAGAATCCTACATATATTCAATAAAAACAACACTAGTCTAGATTCAAAATGGATATCGAATTCCACAGTAATTTCTTTAACATTTTTTGGGCTTCAAAAAATCACTAACTATTTACTTCAGGACAATCAAGCAGGCCGAGGGGGAAAAAATACGAAAAAAAAGTGAAAGGCGTGTTGCTAAACCGAACTAAATAACCATGGTGATTTATTCCTGTCAAATGTAATCCAAAACATTGTTTTTCTAATAAATAATTAACCAATAAATATTACATTTTATTGTCGCTTAATTGTTTTAAAATTTGATTTAATAAAATCACTAGATTCAGAAACCAAATGAATTTTTGTCTGTTCCGAACTCAAGGCTTCTACTCACGGAGTACGTTTATCTCGGCGATTCGGCGATGTAGTTTAATTACAGCGTCTAAGATGTTTATTTGCGTCTAAGATGTTTATTTTCATTAATTTTTTCTTCTCACTATGATATTTTATTTTGTTCTTTTGTAGCTTTATATTATTTGAAGTTAGCTTATTTTTTTATTATTATTTTTTTTTAATTTGTAAATATGGTGTGAATGTGCTCTCAGAACTCTATTATAAATGTCCTTTATTGAGACAGATTGTAATATTTATCAATAAACAAAAAAAAAAGTTTAATTGCAAAGTGATATGTCCTGGCGATATGATACCTTTTATCATATCCTGTGTGTAGAGACCTTTACAGTTGCGGATTTATTCGAGTTCGAAATAAAATACTGCACAACGATTATAAAATAATAGCTCTTTCACTGATGTTAAAGTTGGATTATCCAAAGAACATACAGTTCAATCAAAAAGAAAATATTAAATACATGGATGTCGAATCTATATAAAATATAGATGCCCATGATAAAACTGATCTTCTCTTAAGTCGAACCAAATATAAGTAAAAATGTTTATCTTTGCTTTATTTAGTGACTGAAATGAGTATTTATGGAACACAGATCCTTACTTAACTTACGAAACAAGCTACTGATCTACAACACCATACTGAGGCCAATTTGGACATACCGAACAAAAGTTTGTGGTTCGTCAAAACGAACATACATTAATAAAATACAAACAACACAATAAAAAATTCTACAAAAAATTGTCAACTTACCTTGGTACATTTCAAATAAAACTATATATAACGGCTTAAACTCCGAAACAGTAATCGTACATCCACGGCAAATACACTTAATTTCATTCTTCTACTCTCAATAATCCAAACCCACCCGTCTCTTTCTTCCTCCATGTTAAAAAGAAAGTGACCAAGGGACCTACTCCTACAATAATAAAAAAATTAAGTTAATCAAGATATGCTGCAGAGCAGTTACTAATGGCTTAAAATAAATATGTATACTGACTCATTATTAGATGTTAGGTAACGTTTTTTCACTTCCAGGGCCACCGAAAACAACAACCATACTTCACAGAATTCTTTTCCTTATCTTCATACACTTTTATATCTTCTTATGTCTTTTCCTTTCGCTTTGGTCCGTCGATTTGGTCAACATAAATAATTTAGAAGTATATGTTGACCGGTTTGGATGTCTAAAACGGACAAACATTCATAGATTTATATAATAATAGCACTAATACCACAGAAGTTTTTTTATGGCTCATATACATGTTATATTAAGGCAAAAGACATAAAAGAATCTTATATTTACATTTGTAAAACGGAAAAAAAAACATTTTTACAAGTTTTCTGTATTTTCCGATTTATCATAAACTTATTATTATTATTTTTTCTGTTGGTATTACAGACCATGTAGATCTTAATAAGCCTGGTACATACCTGTGGCTATTACTTTCTAATTATCTGCAAAGTAGCTCTATTGCATCTGTGTTGATTCTATCTAACCATCTGCTTTTTGACCTTCCACGTGATCTTTTGACTTATATTCAGACATTCATTGTAACGTAAAACCTTCCAGATGGATTGCTACTAGGTACTTCCCCAGCCCATCTTAGGCTCTGTGCTTCATATTATGGGATATTGATTGGCCAGTTTCTGTAAGCAGCTCTTTATTTGTCATTCTTCTCCATGTGTTAGATCCCAGATGGCTTTTTTCGAGGATTTTTCTCTCAAATCTTTCAATACTTTTTTCTAGGGTCTTACAGCCATATATTAGAACTGGCTTTATCATGGTATTGTACACCATTAATTTAATATTTCTTAAGATTTTTCGGGATTTCAATACCTTTGAAAGGGAGAAGAAAGCTTTGTTTGTGCTTGTTGTACCTTGCTGAATTTATATTAATAATTTATTATTATAAATAGTATTAATAACGTATTTTATTTAAAATTAAGTTAGAGTGTACATGATCCTTCCAGTTCATCAGTACATCTGTGAGGCTCTGAAACCATTCTCAAAAATAAAACTATTTTCAGAATAACTCCAATTGAATTCGGAATAGTATGCTAAAGGCTCCCCGATTATTAAATTAAATCTTAAGAAGCAGAAGATCCTAACCAGGTGGAGTATGGTCTATTGGCACTAGATAGCACTAGTACTCCCATTGTCTGAGAGCAATAAATCAGTGAGCCATCCAGCTGCCTACCTCCATGCCCGTCTCTACCTCGCTGCATTAATGGCTTGTCTGTCCTCTCCTGCAACCTCGGCATTATCCGATATCGACCCGTCGATTGCTCAGTCCTTGATGACTATAGCTCATTAATATTTTGTAAGGGAGTAATGAGACGAAATATAATTAATACTAACTCTTATTGTGAGACATTATGACATCACGATATGCCCAATAGGAATGGACCATTGCTAAACAATATATTTAAATAAGTGGCAGTTATAGTCCGTGGCACAGACCCCTTTTTATCAAATTATTAACATCTCTCCGAAACTTCGTGAATAGCTTAATCTCATCGGGACGTACAACTACCATATTTATGAAAACTCTTGGAATTGGCAAGTTTTCAATCTGGAGATGGGCAAACTTCGTATATTTAATTAGGTACTAAAACTTGTAAATACCCATTTACTTTCCACTTGGATCGTAAGATAATTTCATCAGAAAATCGAGAAAAAAGATGGCCTGCAAAAATATTGGGCCGTTTGGCCTATAAAACCTCTTTATTTTGAAACGTTAGAGGTGTAGGTCACCCCTAACGGCCCAACATTTTTGTAGGCCACCTTTTTTCGGATTTTTTATCAATTATGTTAATTGATTATGTTATTATGTTATTTAACATAATTATGCTCACTATTTTCTACCATTTATTTATTGTTTTTTTAATTTCGTAAATAATATTTACAGTATGCCATACTTAATCCTGTCTCACAATCGTTGAGCCAATTTAAAAATAAAACTGGCAATATAATAGGGATATAAGTAAAGCCGATGTATTATACTGGTACTGATGGGAGAAACTAGTTTGGAAATGGTGTCTTTTTGCCAACACCTGATGGCTACTTTGAGGTTGATCTCGTACTTACCAGAGTAATATCAAGATTCATTTCCAGAGACCTCTGAGAAATAAATATTAACCGATCCAGACGGGAATCGAACCCACAACGTTCAGAATCGGACATGTAATTCGTTGATGACATTTCACTATAACGCCTTGGTCTATTATACATATATTCCGTATTTTAAATTTCTCAATTTTTCAATGACTTTTATTGTAGTTGTAGTAAGGTTTTACCATAGTTACTTCTCCACGAAATTCCTTTTCATTAAATATCTCATTCATCAAAATCCATCACTCTGAGATCCTCCGCATTATGTACAATGTAGATTATATTTGTTATAGATTACCATAACGTAATAGTGTCTAAAGCTTATTGGTCACGATATGACCAATAAGAAAGGACGGATAACTGTAGCCAATTATACTAAGAAAGCTTTCCGTAAATGTTGTGGCAGTCACTTCAAAATAAGCGCAGAGATAAACTTTCAATGATATTAGAGTGGAATGTTGTCAAGCCTTTTGTTTTCATAATTTTTATTTTTAATTTTCTTAAATATAATTTTAAGTGTCTCCGTTTAAGCATTGCTACTTCGTCCTATCTCACAATAGAAAAGCTAATTTGAAAAAAAAATACGTTTTTACCGATCAACCATAAATCGCAGGACCTTATTTCATTACAAAACTAAGGACTTTATTGAAAGCAGATATTTATTTCTTCATATTTGAAATCACCATAGTTTGTGGTATGTTGTACAGGATGTATAAATGAGTAGCGAGTTGTACATGATGGAAGATTCACTTCTCAATTGACATTTCAAAGCGGTGGAAGCTACTCCAAACGATCGATTGAACAAAACTTGTAGCGGTCACCTCATTGGTCACAATGATACAACAGCTGATTACACACACACAGAATTAATACAAACAACATTTATTAACATCTCCGAACTGTCTTGAAAATGACAATGGACGAGGTTTCAATAAAACGGACACTTTATCTATTAAATGCCTATTAAAAGGGGATGCTATCGAACTATTGTAGTTTATATTGTAATAACAGTAACAATGACATTTATTGCTTCGATAACAGTTTATCGCTCATTATTGACTACGCATTAAAGGTTCGTAATCGAGATTATTCATTTCAGTTCGATTGTTCGATTTGGTCGAGTTATTGCCTATTGATAGTTATTGTAGGACCGTTGGCAAGTATCAGAGCAGAAGGAATACACCAATAGGATGAGTTACTGCGATCAGTGTAGGTCGATATTGTGTTCATTCATTATAATTAAAATATATAGATATTATGGTGGTGTATAGTGCAATGGATCTAAAACTGGGTAAAGCGGGGCACAGAGATACCGCGGCAATATTACTTAATATTAAAATTTAAGTTCAAAAGTGACAGTTTGGTGAGTACAATAAAATTGGGTGACTTTGGTGCAATGTCTAGAAAAGTACTAAGTGGATGTATAAGATAGTAATATAGTAGAAGATAGCAATCTCGATACATTTAAATTAAAATAAATAAGTTACCAAAGATTTAACATGTACACTTCATTTTACAGTATTCATGCTTAAAATTAATAATTTTAAATTTATTTATAACAAAAATTAAATTATAATTATTCGAGTTTAAGATAAGGCCTGGTTCGAATTTGGTTTGTTTGTTCTATATTTCACAAAATAAGAATTACAGATTATTTTAGTAAGTATGCCGCACTAAAAAAGTTTAAAACAGCTGTTCTTGTGTACCTTAATCACAATAATATTTAACATTTGAATTAACTGAAAGAGATATCGTTTGGGCGCAGTGATGAATTCATCACATCAATAAGGGAACTTGAATGAATGATGATATTTCTGCCAACGCTTTAGGTCTTCTTCAGAACCACAGACGTTGAGGATTTACAACCATTTGTTGTAGATACTAATTACTTTTGTTGTAGGTAATACTACATCCTCATACATCCCTAACGTTCAAATCTTACACATGATTGCAATTGGATATAATTTGATTCCGAAAAGCAAAAGCTTTTTACCTCTTAAATCTCTGAGACAGAAAAAGGCTATATCACATAAGTGTAGAACAACAATCAACAAGATTTGAAATATGAATAGTAATTCAAGGGCATTACTAGCCTAAAAACATTTATCCCAAAAAGGGGACATTTTTTAAGTGAAAATTTCTTTAGGCACGTTTTGTTCTTTATTGTGGAGAGCAAATTAGATTGAGCCGTCAGATTTCCGATGTGTAACGCTCGGATATAGTCAGTTGGAGTCCACTAATTGAAGTGTTTTTCACATGGATTAAAATATCTCAGAAACTAAAAATCGGACCTGCATACTGTAAGCAAGGAAATCCTCTCTGTAATGGACTATTATTAAAAATTGTATGTTAACGCGATGCCGTGTTAGGAAGGCGAAAAGGAAAAATAATGACGAAAACCAAATGGTAACGCGTTTTATTGAAGATATGGATTGAAATATCCTCGGAAATAAAAAATGGGACCTGCTTACTGTAAGCGAGGGAATTATTTAGCATTTCATGCTCTCTGTAATGGGCTATTATTTATAATTTATATTTCATATTATTAATCTCGACTTGTTGATGTTTTCATTATTATCGTGTGGTCTAAAGCCTAGTTTATTTTTAATATACAGAGGGTGTCCTTTTATTGCATATAATTCCAAATACTAATAACTTTTTAAAATACCAGCATGCCGCTGTCAACCAATTATTTTTATTTGGTTTACTGCTTGCTGATATTTTCCGAGAAATGGAACCTTATTTCTAGAATCTAATAATTAACTTTTGAGTTTTTTTTTCACTTTTCTTGTGAATTAATTATTGTATAATGTAATAAATCATTTTATTAAGTAAAATGACGAATATTGTGCTCTGCCGGCGGAATTTCGACTCTTTCGATTTCTACTTTTTATCAATTAAAGGGAGCCCTCCACTGGCGAGATTAGATGCGGTTTTTGTCACCTCTCCACATCCGGCCGTGGCCCCGCATTCCGTTCCCAGGGCTACTCGTCCATCTTGGCGGGTACAGTTCAGGCCACCGTATATAGTGAACATTTATAGGCTAATTATTTAAACAATAATTATTATGGACTGTGGATTTGTCATTTGTGCCAATTTTTGAGGCAAAGGAGTATAATTGAAACAGTCTAATTTTTGAGTTATAGTCAAACCTCTCCTGTAATAGCAATGATTTTTCTACACTGACGGACTTTATTTTTTTTAAAGTCTTTCAGTATATCTGAAGTCAGACTTACAGTTAAACAACATAATGAATAATAAATAATAGCTTATCAGATTGGTTCAATATCGAGGTTCATCATTAGTTCATCGAAAGATTTTTTTTAAATACTAAATAATTTCTGATATTACCATTGAGTATCGATTTATTACATTTTTTTTTGGATTTATTTGAAATAAGAATCAATTTTTATATTATAGGAGGAGATTTTTTTAAAAATATTAACAATTTTAAGATTACATGCACGATCTGTATATCGATAGTATTTTTAAAACTTACGCTTTCGATAACCCAATGTATTTTTTTTTCCTACGCCTAAGTAATGCCAGCTTGATCAGCCATGCGTGCAATATAATTTTGCTCTCCTAGCATAAGGGCTGTCCATTTCACTAAAGGAACATCTTATGTCCTGTAATGCAGGGCATGTATCAAGATGTTCTCCTGTCATCATGTCCAAGGAACACAGAAGGAATGTCGGGCTATCTTTTTTACCGGCCACTATAAGATAGCCTATACTTCTAAGATCCTTGTAATATTATATAGACAGATGAAACTGAATATGTTAAATGTTTTTTTATATTTGTTATTATATTATAGTTTTCTTTAGTGTGTAATATAAATTAAATATTGGTTTGTGTTGCAGGTCACGGCGGGGTGAACCAACTTGGCGGGGTGTTCGTCAACGGGCGGCCGCTTCCCGACGTCGTGCGGCAGAGGATCGTCGAACTGGCCCACAACGGCGTCCGGCCGTGCGACATCTCCCGGCAGCTCAGGGTATCCCACGGCTGTGTCTCCAAGATACTATCCAGGTCAGTTTATTCATTTTTTCTTGTTGGCATTACAGAACTTGTGGGTCTTTGTCGCCTTGACTAGCCTTAGCAGTTATCATCTTGCAGGTTTGCAGCATCTTCGTAGATTCGTTTTATTCATCAGGTTTTTGGCCTTCCACTTGTCTCATTGGCTACTATTGAAGCATTGTTGCGAAGAAGCTTTCAAATGAAATGTTGCTAGCTACATATAACGTCCATCTTAACCTTGTTGCCTTCATATCTTGAGATATTGATTGACTAGTTTCTGTAAGCAGTTCTTCATTGCTTCTTCCCAAACGGTTTTTAGGATGTGACAATAGAAAAAAAGGAGAAGGCTGCGGAACTAAGTATCATTAGATTTGTTGAGGAGTATGCAATCCAATTCATATTTTAAACAAATTCCCCCTAAATGGAAAAATGCCGATGACACCTGTATCCTATCAGTTAATAACGATCCATCTATTGCATCCCAAACTCTTCAATCACAAGTCTTGAAAAATGGTTTCAAAACTGGAGGAATTCCAATAAATCCCATCAAATTATCTTCACTCTTCGTCGTAAACCTATGACTTCCTGTCCTACAGTATCCTTCAACAATAGCTCCCTTATCCCTGTCGAACAAATCCGATACCTAGGACTCCACCTGGACAAACGACTCACTTGGAACCCCCAAAGCAGACTGAAACGACTATAAATCGCCCGACGTTTTCGACTACTACATCACTTATTAGACAAACGCTCTAAGCTTGCAATCAATTACAAACGACTCATATATATGACAATAATAAGACCTATTTAGACTTACGGAATTGAGCTTTGGGGCTCCACTAAACCATCGAATTCCTCTCGTATCCAATCCTTACAGTAAAAAATCCTTCGTAAAATCCTCAACGCTCCATATGTTTCCGATTTGGCCCAATCCAGATACCTATCCTTCCATAACAAACTGCAGAACCATCCGAACCCTCTCATTTCAAACGTTGCTTCCTCCTCGATCCCTGATAACCCTCCGAGGCGTCTGAAAAGAAGATGGCCTCGGGACTTTCTAATATAGAACTTTAATTTGAATTCTACCTATGAGTAGTTTCTCTTCATGTTGTACATGCTATGTTACCAATGCCACATTTAGTTATTGTATTTTTCATGTAATACAGTTGTAAATTTTATTAATATAAAAAAAAAAATGGAAAACGATGGCATTCCGCATGATTCAGAAAAACAATTCAATCGGGTTGCTTATTTCACCTCTGTGAACGTGAGAAAAAGTCCTGATACTGCCTTTACTGACCTAACCAATTATAATAGAATTCTCGCGGTGGAATTTTCGACTATTTTGTATTTTTCGTTTTATCTGCATTAATTTGTAGGCTTTTATGTTACTGTAGCACCTTATACATTATACAATCGAAGTATAATATAAGTGGGCGATTTATTAGTCAATATTGTTCATCAATGCTGTTGTTATTGCGGTAAAGCAGATTAACTCCCCCTTGCGATAGGCTTCAGCCCACCATTGAAGCAGGTAGCTGGTCGCGCCGCAGATCGCTGCTTATCGAATTATCGCGAGGGGAGAAGACAATGGAGGCTGATTACTTAGCGGTCCCCGGCGGTGACATATTTTTACGACGAGACGTTGCACTTAGGCGACGCGCGCCGCCAGGAAGCGCACGTTCCACGCTGAGTAATATCCTCTCCGGCCCAGCATCTGTCATTTGTCATCCCAAAATGGTTTCACATAATTGTCGGCAATATCGATCCATCGAAATGTCAACGCTAGTCGCTCTTCTAGGTTTTTTTTATAGAAAGCCTTTTGTCAATGAAGAACTGGTGTCGTTATGAAGCACGTCGTTTCGCCTAGAACTGAATGTCAGATCAATGTTCTCCCATGTCTGTACCTGGGAAGGTCGATCTGATTTATTGTAGCGTATACCACTACAACACTTTCACTAACTATAATATACACTAGCGGCTGAAGTTCCTCACAAAATTAAAAATAACTTTTTATCATTTATCAATATTATAAAGCATAGACTTTAAGGTACTAAATGTAAGCACATGTCAAGACAAAAATGATCCATTAAAACATTATTGTTCCCCAAATTATTTTTATTAAAAAATATATATTATATTGATTGATTTAATACCGGCTTCGTTATGGTATACAGTATACGAGTTTATGACACGTGGGTATACTAGCGTATTTGGAACTGCTGTCTAACATGAGTATTTTTCTTCTCGAAGATTTTTGTTTTCTGCTCGGACAGTATCGTATAAATACACTAAGAGTTAAAGGAAAATCCCTGTTCTGGGCTCTACTGTTATTTTTTTAGGTTCATAGTAATATTTAAATCAGATTAAAAAAAAAAGATCGTTAGTCTCCTAAAATTAAATCCTAAATGCGTCCTTATAGAGCAAGGAGGTGATGGGTTGATAACTCAACCTGAACCACCAAGTATATCCGCTAGATAGGGTTAGACAGACTTTGTAGAAGCGGAGTGTGCCCTACAAGGGTCTCTTGACCCCAAAGTCAATCCACAGCTGATATAATAGAATTAGTATCTAACAGCTGTTGTATTTTATTTGATCCTATATAAATACTATTCTAAATTGTAATAATCCATAACTAACAGGTCTTAAGTATTGGAAACAGTGTTGCCGTTTATACGAGAATTCTCGTATTTGTACAAGGTTATGACGTATTTTAAGAGGTTCGAGGATCGACCAGCCTCGTACTTCGTACATTATTTTTTCTGACGTATGCAAAGTTATATTTTTATGAATGAAGTTTAGATTTGTTTTACAATTACTTTTACTGTGTCATTATTTACATTAATATGTAATACTTATCTTCTGTTACTTTATTGCTAAATAAATTGCAATTATATCTTATTAAATTAGAGTATGATTGTTTGCTTCATAAAACCGTGATTTTTATGTTTTTTTTATGTAAGTATTTAATGTTTTTTAATTTTTTAGAAAACCAGATTAAAAAAAAAAATTTATGATTTTTATGGAGTATAAGAATCAAATATAAGAAAGTTTATCGATTGTTTCCTTTATAAAGCTACGATTGTTACATAATTGATTTAAATAGTTGCAAGTAAGCAAAATAAATTTATTAATTTCAATTATATTACCCCTAGTTTCGAATTTCGATGTACTCATGTGTTTTCCCTTTATTTTTTAATAATGAAAGGAATATTCTATCGTTTAAAAATTTTATTTTGTTATTTCAATTTTTATACAAAGTTTTTCCAATAGTTTCTAAAAATATATGCACTTTTTATATATTTAATCTCGTGCCTTAAATTAAGCTAATTTTACTTCTTCACTCATTAACTTTAATGAAATCTCATTTTAATTTTTAAAAACAACAACATTGAGCCTACAATAGTACGAATTATCAATGAGCAAGCGTACGAGGATGTGCGAGGTTTGAAGTACGAGGATTTGTCACAGAGCGCGCGTCAGAGTGATGAGATTTTTTTCTTTTTTTTTCTCTTGCCTAATTATACTTCAATTACCGAAACGTTGAAGAATTATTTTATTCTTTACCTGCTATTTAAAGACATGAGACTGTGTGGTCTAATTTTTCCAATTATAACCTAGCATCTGTTTTCAGTCTGTGGGTGATTTTTTAATTCGTTATTAATAAAATATTTTGATTGAAACTATCGCTGCAGCAACACTACGATCGTTGTGGGTGGTATCGCGAAGCTGTTAACTCGGCTAGAGGTGGTCTATTCCTAATGAATGGCGCTCATTGTTCCCCGCTCTTCTCAGATCTCGCCATGGCTCGTTTCACTTTCGGGGGCTCTGCCAATATTGTTTCTCTTTAATAACCATCTTAATATTATTATTATAATAACCGATACCTCGTGCTGTATAGTCATATTTTAACTATATCAACAGGCTATTTCGGGGTACCAGTTCACATGAGTTCCGCACGGATTACGGGTGGTTCACAATATGGCCAACCAAAAATCATGGAATTGTTTCAAAACTATTTTATCGTACTTTTGTGAGAGAATTATTCACGAATGGATAACGCTGTTGGGATTTTGATTAATTAATAAGATCCCAAACAAAAATATATTTTACTGAACACATTTTGTATAAAAACAAATGAAATAAATATCATATTTTTAATTAATAATAATAAAACAAAAAATATTTTTAAAATAAATTAGAATAGTACAGAAATAAATGTTTATGTTCAATAATATTTAAAAATGCTTATTCAACTTTTTGGCTACTACCTCACTGGCTTGATTGTCTTTGTCTAACCTCTTTGGGCTAGAATATACACCTCCAGTAAACAATTCACAAAATCAGTTTGGCTACTTATAGACAATTCACAATCACTCTTTTTTTTTCTCTTGCCTAACACTACCAACATCAAGCAATCGGCAAATTACTGATGTTTGACATTTATGTCTGTGGCTATAACCCAAACAACATTAAACCCTATGTGTGGCATGAATGATTGAATACTTATTCATTCACATTACCATTATTTACTTGAGTTTAATAACTTTAGTCACGATAATATTTAAATAGTTAAATATTAACATGCCATATTTGAGTCGAAATTTAATTATTTATTCAAGTTGGTAAGTGAAAGTTGTGTGAGATACACAACACTATATCATACATTACATGGCAGAGGAAAGTTCCTGTTCTGGGTTCTAGTATTTTAAGTCACACTTTGTTAAGTTCACTTTGGTGTTTCGACCAATCCGAAAAGGAAGCGGTATCGAGAGCAAGGGCCTGGTGAAGTGGAGGGCCGGAGTGAAAGGGCTGACAGATAGCGCTGGTGGGGCCTAAGTGGCCCGCTCCGCAAGGTAATTTATTTCGGGCCAACTCAGAGCGCCAACTAAGAGCCGCTCTTTTACAGTTAATTTAGAGGTGGGATGGTCAGTACGAGGATGTCTCGGGTCCTTTCATATGTAAAAGGGTCTCCGAGTCCAGTTTGAATAAAAATCCTTGAGCTAAAGGAAGTCGACCACGGTGCTCTGGTCATACAGGACCGTAGGGGACGGCCTATGCTAATGTGGCTGGCTATATGTGGCCCTCGTAATGACCTCTTCTCATAACTCACCGCATCCCCCTCCCCAAAAAGGATGAATAACTTTAAAATGTATTCCAACCCCTATGGCTATTCCACGGTTTGCTCAAATTAATTTCAGCGGTTTTGTCGAAACAGCTAAAAAGCAGGTATGAATTGCAAATGAACTCTTCTTATGTTCCATTATTAGGATAGAAATACAATAGGGATTGATTTTTAAAAGAATGGATGAGATTGGTAGACAATAGAAATATTTTGTTCATTATTTAACACTCTAATGTTGAAGAAACATTGGATCACCAGTGTTAGTGCATTCGATGAGTAGTCATATGGGCGGTAAAGAGAGAAATGGAAAGAACACAATTTTTTGCTTTGGAACTTTGTTCGGACTAGTCAGAAAGGTTTTTTTTTCTGTTGGCAGACATTGTAAGTGCATATAAATGCAAGATATATAAACGAAGTTTAGAAACAGGGGACTAATGCTGAATTAATGCAGCTATATGAGGAAGCCGATGTTATGCCCTTTATTAAAGTTGTTCGTCTCAGATGGACATGACACGTTGTAAGAATGTCTGAAGATCAAGTCCCAAAAAACATCCTCTTAAAACAAATCTTTGGCAAACGAAGAAGAGGAAGATCAAGGCTGCGATGGACTGATGACTTATCTGCAGATACAAGTCCATGCTTGGGGTCCAGAACTGGAAGGATACAGTACGGAATAGGGATGAAGGGAGGTCAAATTTGCAAGAGGCCTTGTCTCCACGCGAGAGGTAATGATTTATAAGAAGAAGATCTTGTAAATCATTTGCCAACATTTGCAAACTTATGTATCTCTACCTATCATTGGCTATCTCTTTCCACCTCTCTCCAGGCAGCTCTATTGCATCTGCGTTGATTCGATCTATACATCTGGTTTTTGGCATTCGGCGTGGTTTTTTTCCCACTATCGAGGCATTCATTGTTGTGTAAAGTTTTTTTATGGATTGCTCCAAGCTACATACCCCGTCCGACTTTACCTTCTTGCCTTCATGTCAAGAGATATTGGTTGACCAGTTCATGTAAGCAGTTCTTTATTGACATATCTCCTCTATGCTTTAATACTGTGATCCCAGATAGTTCCGGTTTTGGTATGGTGGTTTTTTCTCTCAAATCTTTCAATAATTCTTTCTTGGGTGCTGGTTAGAGTCCTGGTCTTGCAGGCGCATATTAGAATCGGCTTTAATTTAGGATTTTAAACTCTTAAATTTAACAATAAAAAAATGTGACAAAATATTGTTTTTTTAATTTAGCGAATTTCGTGCATGGATATCACGGAAACTATGAGATATAACGAAAAGTAATAACGAAATTAGTATCACCAATATAGTTGAAAATTTCATTAGTTTTAATTTTGTATAAAATGTCTTTATCGCAAGGATGCATAGTTTCGCTGATATGAGGAATAATAACAAAAAAAAAGTGTCGTTCGTGCACACCAATTCTTGGCTTACCTCCTTGGGTACTTTTAGTATGTTTACCTCCTAACTAGTCCAAAAAAAGTTCCAAAGATGAAAATTGTATACCTTCCATTTATTTCCCTCTATAATCATTCATTGAATGGACTATGTTGAACCTGTTGCTGAATGAAGTTGGCAATACCTTTGGGTTGCCTTGACTACGGTAAAAACATTCCCTATATCAAGTAATGTTCTAACAATTAATATTAAAGTAAATTACTTATATCGATAGATCTTAGAAAGAGGTTAGTATCGGTTGAGAAGAGGGGTGGCCCTCAAGTGCTGTAAGGAGGCTCGTTGGCCCCCCACGTGGCGGTTGCTATGGCTACGCCCATTAATACAGCCAGTTTGATTGGTCAGACAACAAGTCCCTTCGGGTATCGCCCAACCACAATCGACCTCTTTATTTCATTAATCGGTCTCTATCGTCGGTTCTTTCGTACTACGACCGCCTTCAGATTCTCCATATTAGGTTTATATATTTACAAAAAAATAAATAAAAAACGTATTTAACTTTATTACCGCTTATTTAATTCAAATATAGGCTTGATGATGTTTTTATAATAAATAATAAAATAAACGCTATTATTGATCAAAACACATTTTGGTTTTGGGCACTACATGATATAAGGTGATTCTGCAATATTTGTAAAACCATTCCCTCTTTTACCTCAGTATCATAATTTTGTAACTTTGAACATTATTTAGGGCAAAATATACATGAATTGTTAAAAGTGTTTATTTATTTACTTCAATTATTAATTAGTTTCAACTTATTTATTGAATGTCATATCAATATCTAATGTTCATCGTGCTTTGATTTCTTTCACGGAGTCCAATCTAATTTCTTAGTTTTGGACGTGGTCCTTTTCGCTGGAGTCTTGTAATACATTGTAAGGAACAGTTCACTCATTCGCTTATGTTGATCACCATTAGTGTTGCCCAAATGCGAGACCCAGACGAGTCTTGGTCTTGCAATCTTAGTTTAGTCATGGTCTTGGTCTTGCACAAGAGTCTCGCAACAGTCTTACAGTATTGTACTTTGTAGAGAGGAGAAACCTAACTAAGCCTGAATGAGAAATTAGAGGAATTAAATGCAAAACTATATTGGTTATACCAATTATTTACATATAATAACTTAGATTGTCGAGTATTAGTAACTATTTTGCCTTAATTTTTTATTAAAGACATCGATTTTTTTTACCAGTCCTGGTCTTGGTTTTGCAACAGTTAGGCGGCCTTGGTTTTGCAACAGTTGGCGGCCAAGACCGATTTTGGGCAACACTGATCACCATCCTAATCATACCTCTAATGAGATTAGTCTTAAGAGTTCTCTTCTGCTTTTTCGGTCTTCTACTAGCTTCTTCTGGTCCATTGAAGGCCTCTTGACTGAAAGTTTCTCATTCTTTCATCTCCTCACGTAAATGTTGGTTGTCCACTTCTTCGTTTTTCCCTCTACTTAGGCTCGGCATGTCTCGCTAGAATTTCTGATAGCTTTCATTTGTAAGAGGTTTCCTCGCCTTCTATTATCTGCTATAACTACGTTTGTATTCTTGATTTATGTTTCTTAGTATATTCATGTATTTCTTTCTTGAAATTACGCTACTAATGGAGAGATTCATACTAAGGACATCGCAGTTGTACAATACATACGGTTACTAACAGTATGATCACATCAATTTTAGCCAAAGTGGGTCTCGACCATCTGAAGCTGTTAAATCTTGAATGCATGAAGTAGATTTAAGTATAATTCTGTATTTGTTTCGAGAATGATTGCAGATTGATCCTGTTTGCAGGTACTACGAGACTGGCAGCTTCAAGGCAGGTGTGATAGGAGGGAGCAAGCCCAAGGTGGCGACGGCGCCCGTGGTGGACGCCATCGCCAACTACAAGAGAGAAAACCCGACCATGTTCGCCTGGGAGATCAGGGACCGGCTGCTTGCCGAAGGGATCTGTTCGCAGGACAACGTACCTTCCGTATCCTCCATCAACAGGTAAGCTATTCCATCATACCATTCTGATCAATCCGTAGGGTACGTAATCCCACCCTTAACAAATAGCATAACATATATCATACCAATAGTCCATGTTTGATTTAACCATATTTTTTACATGCTCACTTACCCAATAATCTGAAAAATACTCTCCCTTTACAATTCAATTCTAAGCTGTGTCTTGTGGTTTTTTAAAAAAATCTACTGTTACATGTCAAAGTTCCATTTTATCTTCATTCTATCCCTTGCTGGAGTTGACCAAGGCAAGGCGTTATATATTTCTGGCACAACAAGGAGTGGTTGTTCCAGCGGTACCTAACCAATTCAAACCAGAGTGGGAAAGTCGAGATCCATTCTGTGTGCCGCCACGAAATGAATTTCAACAACCCCTGACTTGATTCGAGCCGGGGTCGCTAGACACAAGAATGTTAAACTGTGTAATGCTTTAATAAGCTCGACCTATATTCTCTGAGTATTCTTCATCATTCTCTGTAAATAGGAAAAAAAAATCACCTCTTAAGTCAGTAACACTTATGAAATATCGTTTTTATTAATTTTTTATTTGCTTTTTCTCAACTTTTCTTCTTTTTTTGCATATAGGTCAAATTAGAAAAATAATAATAAAACTTTTAAGTTATGGCGTTTATGTCTGTTTCTACGTTTCGGAGATGATCTGTTCCTCTCTTCAACATGTAATATGGTTCAGAAAAAAAATAAAATAAAATAAAGGTCAAGAATTTGAATTAATAATGATTATTCATTTATTTTTTATTTAAAATTTTATTTTATTGTTTTTATTTTTATAAATAGAAAGAGAAAAAGCGCGGATACCAGTAGGGACCGGGGTACAGCAGGGGGAGAAGGGACGTCCCAGGGGACAGGTCCCAACAGTTCCCTGTAATTAATTGGAAGGGGGGGGGGAGTAACCTTTACCCTGATTGAATAGCTGCTCCCCCGGGCCTCTTTTGTAAACTAAATCTCCTCCGATCCAAAATAACATCTGTTAATACTACAGTACTGATACACTCCCTCACCCCATCAATGTTGGAGGCTGTTATTGGTTCCATCCTGTTTATTCCTGTATTCACGAGATTTTAGAAACACTATCAGGGATCCGGTTAATCGAAGAGTCATGTGCATAGTGTGAAAATAAGTGATTCTATGTGCCAGATTATATCAATAAAATGCAATTCTTCATTTGTTCAAAACTACCGAATAGTATGAAAGTTCCGATATTTGGTTTCAAAATGGAAAACGAAAAACATGTTTGGCTGCTGATTAACAACTGTAACGATTTAAATAAAATGTTCTTTGATATGCTTTAAATTTATGTATACTGGGTGTCTTACTTCTCAATGGTCAAACTCAGACGGATGATTCCAGACAAAATTTTCAAAAAAAGTTTATTTGATGCATGGGTCAATTCTGAACGAAAAATTAGCTTAGACCAATTTTGTATTTTCCTTAAAGTGGTCACGTTTTTTTTAATTGAATTAGAAGCAATTTATCAAAAATCGTTCAAGATAATTAAATTCTAAGCACACCATCGTAAAGTAGACAAAATTTTCATTGAGAAAACAGTGATAAAATTTACTAATGTCAATGATAAAAGGGACTTTTAGGACGTCTAATAAAAACTAATAAAATAATAAACTAAACTAAATAATAAAAATAAAACCCACCATTGTGCGGAATTATTGCGCGAATTGGAATTGCAGAGAAATGCTGCTCGGCTATGTTTTTCTCAAAAATATTTTATCTACTTAACGACGGTTTACTTATAATTTAATTATCTTAAACAGTTTTTGAGTACTTCCTTTTTACTCAATAAAAACCATGACTTCCTTAAAATCGTATCGATGTTAGAAGCAATTTTAGATATCTACTGGATCGAGGAAACATGTTGCACCCCTAGTCTGTGCATTTATATCTAACTTATATCCTATTCTATATTAATTAAAAATGTAATGTTTGTTAAAAACGGCAAATCCCCGAATGTTTATTACCGATTGTTTTGTAATCAGAAATTACGAGTAAAAAATTACAATACTATTGCCAAAACGGCCTTATGGATTCTAATGAAAATTTAATAACGTCTTCTCATTGAAGCCTTTTAAATTTTTTCATATAAAATACTTCCTCGAAAAGAATCTGAAAAAAAAATCACGGTAATTGCAGAATTGTATTTTCGGGAATACCGAAAAATACATATCGTTTGGTAGATTACTCTCACGAATGTTTCCTGAAAAACCTCTTTGGCCCAGAGATATAGATAATTTAAAAGCACACGCGTATTCAAAGACAAACGTATGTCAAAATTTAAAAGCGAAATCCAAGCATTTCTGAGATTTAAGATTTTGAATCAATGAACATTTATATTTTTATTCGATGTATTCAAAGTGTTGTGAAATGAAACAGCCTGTTTTCTCTTTTCCATTTAACTGTACTATCCACTGCAGCGCGTGGCTGGACACCGCTAGTTTGGAATAGAATAGCAATTTCTTAAACAATAGATGCAGGGACATGCATGTATTCTTCTATTTATAACTGCGAAAGCATTTTACTTAGGAAATCGTATAAAACATTTGGCTAGATATAATAATGTTAATGTTAATACTTTTTGAAGGATTTTCCTTTAGAATCATTGTAACAAATTAAAGGATCCATTTTCTTACCGAATGAATTATCCTTCGTCCTCGAAGGATTTCAGTGGACTTTTAGATGTACTGAACTTATTTCACATCAACACCAGTAATTCTGTATACATCGTCACATTTTTTTCCAGCTACTTTCAGGGGAGGTATTTTATTTATCTAAATTTATAAGCTTCTTTTGGGAAAGTTTCGTTAAAATCGCTGCAAAAGTTTTGTAGTACAATACACATTTTTCGATTTCCATTTCGAAACGAAATGTCGTATGGTAAAAGTATGTATATAAAAACATTCCTGAATTTTAATACAATGTTGTGTCAAAATATGATAGCAATTGGTGAAGAACTTTTCGGTAGAAGGATATTTTCGGTTTTGCGTATACTAACATCTACATTTTCGTTTTTGTGAAAGTACAAAGCGTAAAAATGATTTACTAGATTTAATAACTAAGGCTATTTAGATTGGCTAAGTAGCAATGCATCCTCTCTTTGAATTAACTAGTGCTATCAAACTTGCACCGTACTTCCCACCTCGAAGGTAGTAGCTATTGGAATGTACCCAAGTACTTTTAATTTTATATTCTTCTTGTGAAGCATCTTAAAGCTCCAGTCCAGACTGCTAGGAAGAAGATACCAAGATTCAATTATGACAACTCCGCCGCTAGCCTGCGAGGTCGCCGGTACAGGTAGTGGTAGGGAAGAGGCAGTGGTTGGAAGCCAGTACCAGCGCCATTTTGTAACCGCCGTCCCATCGATCCACCACCGCCTTCTCTACTTCCTTTATTTTTCTTATTTCATCCGATTTCGATTACATTATCGATAACAATGTATCGATAATATAATCGACACAGACCTACCTCAACACTGCCTACGTAATCATATGCCAGTAACATTTACGTACCGCGTTAGAACGTTCACTGACTGACCTCCCTTCTTTATTAGTCCGGATGTGGTTCCTAAATTAATTATATCTACACGAAATTTCATTCTCCCTTTTGTTCTAATTTCTGACTTAATAACATAAGTAAGTTTTTGCTGAAGACAACTTTTTTGAAATTCATACGAAAATTCATTTTCAACGGTATGTTCACAAGTGAAAGGGAGATACAGGAGATCCCAGCAATACTGGTATTGAAGCTAATGGAGACTGAATATAGATTCTAACTTGATTATTTGAAATTTATTTATTAATTGAAACATATAAAATCTCAGAAATAAAATGCAGAATTTTAATTTCTAGACGACTTAACTCCTTATTTTCGTAAAATCAGTAACTATTAATATGTATGTATAATTTATTTTATTCTTATTTATAAATAATTATTCAACATTTAATCATATCCAATCATTTTGAGCCATTATCTTAAAGAATGTTTTCCGCCAGTACTGAAAAATATGCATCCTTCCTGCTCTTCAATGGAAATAATAATGGAATTTTTTTTTATATTGTTCAATAAGTAAACAAACAAAAAATGGTTAGTTATACTCATAATAATTTTAAAAGTTTCTAAATTCCCTAAAAATAAAGGAAAAAAAAAGAAGAAATTTAAATCAGAAATGTCTCTCTATATAATCCTAAAATTGCTTCAACTCAGCCTTTTTAATTTATTTTAATACAAGTTCTCTAAAATACAGAAAATTTATGTATTCTTAACATTAACAACTGTAATATTCAAAAAGATATGCAGTTTTCTTACTACATGTAAAAATAATAAAAATAATTTGATTTAGTATAACAAATTTTATATTTTCTTTTGGCTGTCTAGAGCACTTTTTATGATAATACCATCAGTTTAAGATTTTCCGAATTTTCATTCGCTTTTCCTCTTTTATCTCATGAATGAAGGATCAGTTTTCCACCATTCCAACAGTTTTGCGGCTATGTAGAGGTAGGTGAAAATAGGGAAATGATGTAGAAAATTTTCCGAATTTTCATACACTTTTCCTTTTTTATTTCGTGAATGAATGCTCGGTTTTTCACCTTTCCAACCATTTTGTAGCTATTTAGAGGCAAGCCAATGGCAACATGAGTGGAAAACAACATCGCCCTAACTTTATATTACTTCTCAAAGGTTTTTGTTTATTTTTTTTTTATTTTGGTATGTCATATCTTTATTAATACTTTATCAAATCAAAATGATTGATCTATCATTTTGAAGATCATCTTCTCCTTCAGTACCGAATAACTAAGCATATCTTCCAAAAATTCAGAACGAATAGTATCATACTATATTATCACAAGACAGTGGCCAAAGTACTATGGTAATTATTTCCCTTGACTTAACTCAATAAAACTTCTAATATTTGTTGATATCATATTCTTAATAATCGGCTAAATTTGACAACGAAT